TGCCGGCTTCTACCTGGTTCCCAGGTAACGCTACTGTTGCTGGTCTGGGAGCCACACCCAGAACCACCGTGGAGGGTGGACCCACAGTCCTCTTCCCTGGCTCTGGGCCCAAGGGAATCCAAGGAGCCTTTCTTCCCAGCTGACCGTGGCAGCCAGCTACAGCACTCCCTGTGGGCCTGAACTACTGAAGAATGAAAGGGTATGAAGAGGAAATGCTAATAGGGGTTTAAGAGAGAGCTCTAAATGCAGGATAAAGCGACAGAAAGAAAGTGGCTCCACATCATGGTGAAGACATTTGTCAAACCTTCAAGGAAAAGGGGTGCAGATGGGCTTCCTGAGCGGCTGCTAAGTGGTGTCGTGAGGGAAAGTGCAGAGCAGCTGGCCTCAGATCACAGGAGTTGCTGCCCTCCCTCCGTCTCTAATACCTGACTCTCACCATGTAAGCAGAGTCGCTGTGTTTAACAAGATGGGCAAGGAGCACTTCTTCCAAATGAAAAATAATCATCCGTAGATGCTGAGTTTGGGGTGAGGTCCACTCAGTGGCCCAGCACTTGGTCACTGCTTGGAGCCCTTCTGGGCTGTCACCACACACGCACTGAAAATGCCAAACTTCTGCAACTGTAACGTCACTGTGGTATTGTTGCTTTCCTGGTAAACTGGCCCTCGAAACGTAGCACACTGCCACAGCGATACTCTCTCCTCCTGGAACCGCTGTCCTGGTCTGCTTCTTCCTCTGCAGCTTCAGACACCACTGGCAGCCTTTAGCACTGAAGGTGCATTGGATCCTTTTTTTATTTTTATCAGTTTCTAGAACTACATTTATTTATGTAGTGGTGCGTGCGTGCGTGCGTGGGTGTGTGACTGGTGACGTGTGGAAATCAGAGGACAATTTTCAAGAGTTGCTTCTTTCCTTCTACCAAGAGCTCTGGGGTTGCACTCGGGCCATCAGGCTTTGAGACAGCACTTTGCCCACTTTGCCATCAGGCCCATCTCTGCCATCTCTACCACTCATCTGTCATGGGGTCTCAGTTTACACATTCACTTCCAGTCAGATGAGGCAGTACACACCCAGCATTAATTGAATAAATAAGTAAATAAAGTGAGATAATTCAGTTCCTCCGGGAAGCATGTCCACCCTGTCCTTCCATCATGGGTAAGGCAGATACCCTCACGTTACCCTGCTTCCTGTACAGCCACCGGGAACAGGCCAGTGAGGGCTCTGTCCTCCCACTGTTGTGGCCTGCCTGTGCTTCAGTGATAGCTGTTCTTTGTGCTGTAACTGAACAGTGGAGAAAACCCAAGGAGCTCAGACACAGGGGTCTGCGCCCCACTGACAGCAACCACCTCAGCTGACCCAGGAAACGAGAGGATCTGCAGGGCGTTCCACCAGCTGTTCCAAAGGCCAGTTGGGAGACTCTGGATTCAATTAATGGACCAGTCTCTAAACCCAAGCCCAGGCTTACCAGCCAAGTTATTTTACCTGTGTCGGGTCTATTTCTTCACCAGAAAAATGAAGTAATACTATAGTCTCACAAAATCACTTTGCTAATTTTAAAAATTGTTTGTTTTTGTGGGAAAAGGCTGCTATGGTTATTTTGGAGACAAATTATACTGTTTTCCATCTATCCTATTGGCAATTTTTGGCTTATCGTAACCATTGTGTTAATGTAGATTATGGAGGTGGGCACTTTTCTGTGCCACTCCTGGGAGTGACAGCTGTGCAGGATAGACTGGCAGCATGCGTCGTGTTCTGCACCTGTAAAACATGCATGATCAGCAGCAGAGCCTGGTAGCTCTCAAACAACGTGAGTGTGTACCATCTAGCTTAGCAAGCTTATACCTAGGAATTTCTCCTAAGGGAACCATAAGCAGAAGTCTCCATAAGAAATTCATCTCAGCATTGCCTAAATTTTTAAAAAAACTAAAAATGTGCTGATTAGATTAATTGTTGTGTATTCATAGAATAAGCCTCTTTGTAGCTGTCGATGATGATGTAAAACAAGTAGTGACATGGGGAATCTGAAGATTTATGGAAACTAAGCAAATAACAAAACCGTAATTAAGTATGTATTTACATTCAAAGTAACTGTAGCACAGGAGAAGGCCAGAAGCTCATAAACCATTTCTGTTTCTGAGTAATTCAGAATTTTTCTTTTCTATTTTTATAGTTGTAAATTTTCTGTGTAGTACATTTACAGTAACAATTTTAGCAAAAATGAAACACAACAGGAAAATGAGGCTGTTGATGCTCTGAAGTTTGCCGCTGAAGATGCTTCCCAGGGCATGCTGGGTAAATATCTTAATTCTTGTTTGCACAGCCTGTTAGCCTATTTGGTCTTCATTCATGCCCCTAAGTACATTGATTTAAATGCCAAAATCAAGCCTCATCATTTTCTGTGATTCCAACACAGGTCAGAAACTAAACTTCCACCCCAAATTGCCTATCTCAATAAATTAAATTCATGTGGGCTTTTCTGAAAGGGCTTTTCATAGCACTAACACCCTGAACCCAACTGTGTTCCTGGCCCTTGGCGACGGGAACAACCCTGTTCTTCTTTCTTAAAAAAAAAAAAAAAAAGCCAATTCAGGAAAAATAAATATGTTTATGAACCACATTTTTTTTCCCACCCAAAATAAAACTAGCCTTTTGGAGCCTCGCGTATGGGAAGACCTGTTCTCATAAACCGGGAGCTACCTAATTGAAGGAACAAGAGTCAGAATGGTCACACTGGTTTTTTTAGCCACCTGTGTTCTTCCTGGCCATGGGGAGATAGCGCCTGTGCTTTCTAATCTTTCATCTGGAGAATTCCATCGTGTGCTGTGCTAAGAATTCAGACGGTTCCAAGTCACCCAGGGCTTATCACAGCCTGAGAGAAATCTGTTTCAGGAACAGAATTGAGGATAGAGGCAAATGGGAAATTGCAGAATAGAGGAGGCTGAGGTATATGTCCAGTTCAGATTCCCACTCCATCTAGATCTTCACTTTGAAGATGGCGCCCACAGCAGGCTTTCCTTGGGGAGGTGGGAACAAAATCTGTGTAAGGATGTGTGGAGTAGGAAGACAGTAAGATTTAATAAATAACGGAGGCAGGGTGCAGAGAGGGGGGCAGGGTAGAGCTAGAAACGTGACTCAGCAGTGAAGACCCCTCAGTGCTCTTGCTGAGAACCCTGGTTCAGTTCCCAGCACAGAAATTGTAGTTCACAACCATCTCCAAGTTCCAGGGGATCTGACCCTTCTGGCCTTTTCAAGCACCAGGAACACACATGGTGTACATACCAGGCAGGCAAACACTCACATAAATAAATAAAAATAAGTAAATACTAAACAAATAAGAGAGATTAGGAAGTAAAAGCAGAGGTGCAGGGAGTATCTGTAAAAACAACAAGGGCAGCCTATTCTTCTGCAATGAGAGGAAGGTGGGCATTAAGCCCAGGTGTTCATCACTGCTGTGTGAAGGCATCTGTCCGCACTGTTGGGAGCCAAAGTAAACTGGGGCCCTCAGAAAGGTGGGCAGTTAGTTCAGGGTCACTCAACACAGACTGGAGATCAACTCCAGCCAGGTGCTTGGACAGTGAACCATCCTCTTGAAGTGGATGAGGAACAGAAACAGTAGGTCACAGGGGAATTTGTCAGGGTGGGAGTGATAGAAAGACAAGATGAAGAGAAAACCAAGCGTACCTGAGTCCTTCCAAATTCATCAGTGTGGATTCCAAAGCGGTGGCCAGGGACAGGTGGGTGGAGATGTGCTCAGGTCTTCATGGAGGCCATGGCTCTCCTGTCGCTGATGATGGCCACACGTCCCTGTGTGTTCCCTCTTTCCTCAGAACTCCCATTCTGTTGTGTTCCACCTACCAGGCAGGGCAGACCACAGTCCCTGGGTGGAAAGAGGGCAAGCTAAGTGAGAGAGGAGAATTTTTACCTAGCCTCAGCTCGCTGCTCTGGTGTCAGGTGTCACTTGAGCTGCTGGGCCATCCTGCATCTCCACTCCGGGGCTGGGGAAGGCTGAATCTAACTCAGCACCATTCTTTAAGTTAGTCCTTCTTAGGGGCCCCACCTCAGTCCAGAGCATCTCTCCTCAGTGGGAACACTCCACAGCCCTAGCCACGGAAGGGGTTATCTCAAGTGATTGCCTCCCTTGGAAAGCTGACGTTGTTAAAACTAGAAGCCCCTAAAGCTGCTTGCTGGTGATTAGAACTTCTCATGCAGCAGTTGTGGAGCCTGTAATTGAGTGGGTCCTGGAACACTGCAAACATGCTTTTCTTGGGAGTTGAATTGTGGCTGTTGCAGAGAAAACACAGGCTTTAGCAACCTACATCCACAGGCTTTAGCAACCTACATCGATTCCCTGAGAAAAAATAAGCGTGTATCTAAGCAGGAACCAGGAGACCACACTTACCTAGACTCAAGGGCTCTTTTACACTGTAGAGTGTTCTTGTGCATACACAGCCCTCTGTGACCCCTAGCGACAGTCATATCCACAAACCCACTTACACCATTGGCAGCATGCAGCAGCCTCCTGGTGTTTGTTGTAACAGGATCATGGGGCCTTAAGCCTGTAATTTACTGGTGATCATGGCATGTGGATTCCCTGAGGCAGACATTGATGTTTGGTATCACTGATTTGGTGACGCCGTAAAGTACAACCAAATGAGTAGAATGGCTTCCAGAAGGGATCCTGTGTTTGTCCAAAACTTGCATTATTGTTTGCATCTGTCCCTTACTTAGCAACAGTTAGAACAGAACCCAGAGAAGTAGTCCTGTCAAACCCTCGCTTCAACCCTGGAGGAAGAGATGAGTGGAGGAGACCACAGAGGGGAAGAAGGGCAAGGGGACCCGCCTCCCGCCTGAGCTTCTCTACAGGCTCAGAGAGACGCCACAACTGGGAAGAAGGTCCCATAGCCATCCGTGGCTGTGAGATGCTGGCTCCCCATCAGTGCACTCTGAGCCCCAAGCCTGATGGAGGGGAGATCTGCTCATTATGCCCTCTGCTCTCTTCCAGCCCGTTGCTAGCCGTGTCTTTTGCCACCTGTTGTGCTGTGCCAGGAGTGGCCCTTCTGACCTGGGGAGTGAATCCGCTCACAGGCGCCCTGGGCATCCTCAACATTTTCCTGTATACTTGTTGTTACACACCGCTGAAGAGGATCAGCATCGCCAACACCTGGGTTGGAGCGGTGGTTGGAGCCATCCCTCCTGTCATGGGCTGGACCGCCGCGACCGGCAGCCTGGATGCTGGTGAGTGTCTCCTGGTGCAGCGCGGTGGCTTCTCTCAGCAGACAGGTTGTGCGTGCCGGATGTGAGAGCTCCTGAGTCTTCCAGGTGAACTTAGCAGCCTCCAGTCAGACTCCCTGGGGCCGGGGGCAGTTCCATTTTACTCTGTTGATTGTTCCAGCAAATGGGCAGTGCTGAGCTGAGAGGGCCCTGTGTCATCCAGGCCTGGTACACCCAGGGAAGGCTTATGCTGCCTCAGCCTGTGACAGCAGATAGTGAGGAAAGGCCCTGAAATGAGTGGTAAAATCAGATCACATGAGACCTGATTTGTTGGGGAAGGCCCGGTCCATGGGGAAGAGATGTGGGATTGGCCTCCTGTCCCCTGTTGGCCATGTCATCTAACTGGCAAGCCTCCTTCCTCCCTGGAACAGGCTTATTTTCCCTTGTGAGAGGACAGATTATCTTCATTAGCTCCTCATTTATTTTTACATGATTTGCTTAAATTGTTCATGCTGTCTACAGTAAAACCATTCAATAGGTCTACGTTTTTGGCAGCATGTCACAACTGGATTTGTGGGGTGAAAATAGCTCATTTTACCATCTGTGCGGGGAGCTTCACAGTCTGATTAGTCGAGTAATTAGTGTTTTGACCGACACGTAGGAAGGAAGTGGTGAGGTTTCCTGCAATATATGTAAGTACATACTTTTCACATGAGAGATCAAAAGGGAGTTGGCCATAAACCGTTGCCCTGTAAGCCACATTTCTGAAACTTTTCATAAAGGCTCATACACTCTGATTTGGCAAGCGCACAAATGTGATTACACCTTTGCCATGATCGTCTCCTAGAATGGTTTTAATATCCTGTAACTGGTGGGTTTTAATGAGTATACAAATACAGCATTCTAAAGCTTATGTGCTCCTTTGCTCTGTGATAAACTAAGCTTGAGGCTTATCCACGTGGGAGGCAGCAGCAGGAAAGGGCTTCAGAGCAAGATCTGAGCCCATTTGCTGCTGACCTTGGCCCCAAGCTTGACCCCTTGCTACCAGTCTCCTCATTTCCCACTTGGAGCTGATGGTGGTCTCTCCTTGTGGAGTAGTTCTGAGGACATGTGGATTCTTACTGTAGTCTGGCCTGCGCTGCCATACCAGATTAGGGCATCTATATGAGAAAGAAATTTATGCTGCACAGTTATAGGAGCTGGGACATCCAGAGTCAAGAGCCCAGCAGCTGGGCTATCAGATAAAGGCATTTGCCACCAAGCCTAGAGACCTGAGTTTGACCCTGAGACCTGCATGGTAGAAGCAGAGAACCAGCTTGAGCAAGTTGTCATTTGACCTCCATGTCAAATGACATGCATTAACTCACACATACTAAGTAAATAAAAGTGTTTATAAAAGTCTTAAAAAACCCAGCATCCAGCAAGGGCCCCCAACTGTCAATCCATAGTGCAAGAGCAAAAAAAAAAAAAAAGACAGCAAACACACACCCAACACAAGGTCAGATTCATAGCCACAAGCCTGTAACCAGTGTTGGTCTGTGTATGAGAATGGGGCTCCCTAGACCCAAACACTTCTCATTGGGCTCCACTTCCCAACTGGGTTGCATTGGGAATTAGGTTTACAGCCCACTTTTTGGGAGGTCACTTCAGTCTAGACTATGGTATGGCTCAACTTACAGTAGCTGCTGCTGCTGCTGCTGCTGCTTGTAGTTCTTCCATAAAGCATGATATTGAGATAGGTGAGGAAAGAGGAGGACATTCAGTTCGTGAACTCAATAGTTCATTGTTTCCTGGCTGTCATTTCCACACTGGGTGGAAAGAGTGCTAAGGCTTCTAGTGAAGTCTTTCTTGGAGAACAAGGTGAAGCATCCATTTGGCATATCTGGACAAGGGAGAATCTGAGTTTTCACTCTGCTTTACCAGTTCATTCAGAGAGCCTTCCATGTATGCCACCCCACCCCACCCATGCTGGCTAATGTCTTACAGCGTACCAGATGCCGCAGACATCTGGGGAAAGGGAACTTCAACTAAGAAAATGCCTCTGTCAGATTGCCTGTAGGCAAGTCTCGGGGGCGTTTTATTGATTAGTGGTTGACATGAGAGGCCCCAGCTCACTGTGGGTGCCATTGCTGGGCTGGTGGTCCCGAAGTTTATAAGAAAGGAAGATGGTAGCATCTAGCGCACACTCTGTCTGATCAGCAGGACAGCAGTGATTGCAGAGCAACTGACAGACAGAACTGTGGGCCCAAAAACACCAGCATCCAATATTCCCAGGTAAGGCGAGAGCCCACAGTGAGGGAAACAAGCAGGCCCGACCTCCCCTGGCTAATCCTGGACTCCCACCAGTGCGCACTCTCAGCCTCTACCCTCTGCCTGCTCTCACTGTCCTTCGAATAACTTCTGGATACCAGGGGTGCAGCTCCAGCCTTGGCCTCCTGATACCCGGGAGCCACACAGTCAGCCCCAGACTCTGCTGCAAAGCGCAACCTGTCTTCCTAGGGAGACTGACCAGACCTCTGGGCTTGCAAGTTCTTCAAGAAAACTGTGCCCAGTGAGCACAGTGTCAGAGCACAGTATCTGGGCAGCAGCAGCTCATTAACCTCAGAACAAGAACACCAGTGGCAGGGCAGCTGTCTCTGAGACTTCCCCTCGTAGAGGAGAGCCCCTTGGGCCCCTGAGGAGTCTAGTTGGTCCACAGGAACATATATCTGAGGAGAGCGTTAGGCAAATTCTCTGAGTACCGCCTTCCAGTCCGAGACAATACCCACACCAATCTAAGGAGGGTTCCTGAAGGGACATCCAGCTTCCTATCCAGGGTGCTTCCCACATGACTCCTCCCACCCCACCCCACCCCAGAACTCCAACAGGTAGCAGAAACTACCAGCCAACACCAGAGACAACCAGATGACTAAAGGCCAGTGTAAAAACACAGTCAATAAAAGCCAAAGCAACAGGGCATCTCCAGAACCGAGTTATTCCACAGCAAGCAGCCCTGGATACCCTAACATAGCTGAAACACAAGAAAATGCCCTTAAATCTATGCTTATGAAGATGATGATGGAGGAAATTAATAAAATCCTTAAAGAAATACAGGAAGATACAGTTAAACAGATTGAGGCCTTTAGAGGGATCTGTACAGAGGAAATTAATAAATCACTCAATGAAATACAGGAAAATACAAACAAACAAGTAAAGGAACTAAACATATCATTTAAAGAAATGTAGACAAACACAAACAGGTGAAGGAAATCAATTAAAAACTTCAAGAGCTGAGGATGGAAAGAGAAAATAAAGAAAGCACAGAGACCTTAACATAAAACCAGAGACATTAAATCTAGTAGAAGAAAGAGTGGGGAAGAGACTTGAACCTATTTGCACAAGAGACAACTTCCTGAACAGAACACCAACAGCACAGGCTCTAAGATCAACAATTAATAAATGGGACCTCATGAAACTGAAAAGCTTCTGTAAAGCAAAGGACACTGTCAATAGAATAAAACAACAGCCTACAGACTAGGAAAAGATCTTCACCGACCCTGTATCTGACAGAGGATTAATATCCAGAATACAGAAATGACTCAAGAAATTAAACACCAACAAACCAAATAATCCAGTTAAAAATGGGATACAGAGCTAAACAGAGAATTCTCAACAGAGGAATATCAAAAGACTGAGAAATACTTAAAGAAATGCTCAATGTCCTTAGTCATCAGGGAAATGCAAATCAAAACAACTCTGAGATTCCATCTCACAGAATGGCTGTCAGAATGGCTAAGATAAAAAAATCAAGTGACAGCACATGCTGGAAGGGTTGTGGAGAAAGGGGAACCCTTTTCCATTGCTGGTAGAAAAGCAAATTTGTACAGAAAATTGGGAACAGCTCTACCTCAAGACCCAGGTATACCACTCCTGGGCATATACCCAAAAGATGTTACACCATACAACAAGGAAGAACATTTGTTCAACTATGTTCATTGCGGCTTTATTCGTAGTAGTCAGAAACTGGAAACAACCCAGAAGTCCCTCAAAGAATGGATTTAAAAAAACAAACAAACAAACAACAACAATGTGGTACATCTACACAGTGGAATACTATTCAGCTATTAAAAACAAGGACATCATGAAATTTGCAGGCAAATGGATGGCTCTGGAAAAGATCATTGTGAGTGAAGTAACCCAGACTCAGAAAGCACCGCCTAGTAGCAAAGACTACCTTTCTAAAGCTTTGTCCATTTCTTGATGTGTGTGCCCTTTAACAATGGTTACAGTGCTAAGTCCAAGCACTGATTCACAGGCTCAGGACCCATCCATTTCTCCCAGAGTGCTGCTGGGCTTCTGACTGTGTGGCTTTGTTGATGTCTGAGAATGTCACATCTAACAAGTTCCCAGATGCTGCTAATGCCCCTGGTCCAGGAACCACCCCCCTCAAGTTCATAAAGACAAAATTCTAAAGAGCCCCAGCCTTTGGGTACCTCAGAAATACCTCGAGAGTGAAGCTGATGGTAGTTCAAACTATATTGCGCATACTGTCTACAGAGGTTGGCGACTACCAGGGTTCTTATCTTGGTGGATATGGATAGGTGGAAAGAGCTTTTCTGAGTGGTAAATGCTTTTCTTTCTTCTGTAGTATCTCCAGACCATTTAATCAGTCAGGACCATTTAATTTGTCAGGAGTAGCAGCCTTTGGAACACCATACTGAACTGAAGTGTTAGCAGGAAGAATTGGGAAGTGAAGTAGGTGTTGAATCAAAGAATCAGGTTTCAAGGTTGTTTCCTGTTTTCTTCTGGCTTTCAGAGGCCCTCTGTAGCAGGTTCCGAGGTTGTTTCCTATTTTCTTTTTCTTCTGATGTCCATCCTCTTTGCCTTTCAGGATGGGGATTGAACATTTTAGTTAGGGTCCTCTCTTTTGCTTAGTTTGTTTAGATGTACAGATTTTAGTGGGTTTATTCTATGTTGTATGTTTATATGAGTGAGTATATACCATGCGTATCTTTTTGCTTCTGGGACAACTCACTCAGGATGAT